AAATCTCAAACTGCCAACCATCAAACAAAACCTCAAAACTCCCAAAACCTGAACCAAGCATCAAACAAAAACACAGTAGCAAGCTTCCAAGATCCCAAACATAGTAGCCAACAAAAACCAGTAACCATCAAACAACCAAAAACCTGTTAACCATCAAAAAGATCCCAAACACAGTAGCCAATAAAAACCAGTAATCATCATCAAATAACAAAAACCTGTAACAAGCTTAACAACAAAAGCCTGTTAACCATCAAAAAATCCCAAACACAGTAGCCAAACTTCACAACAAAAAACCCACAAAGCCTCAAAACTCACAAAGCCTGTAACCTGATAAAACTGAAAAAACCAGCAACATAACCATCACAAAAATCCCAAAAACCAGTAACAAACATCAAACAGTAACAAACCACAAAATCCCAAAAACACAGAGATGACACCATCATCATTCAAACAAAGAAAACAGAAGAAGTTACCGACAAACCAGTGAAGCCACACTCTCGTCCTTATAAAACTTCCTCCACCATTGGAACACCGTCCTGAGTCTCGCCTCTCCCTTTCTATTTCGCAAGAGAGAAGTCGTAAAGATCCAACGGGTAAGAATTTCTCCCCTTTATCATAATTCCATAACATATTCTCTGCATCTAAAAGAACGAGGTAGTCAAAAGAAAACACAAAGATAGAAAAAGATCAGTGAAATCTTTAAGCTTTAAAAATGACAGAAATCTTACCCTTTTCAAAAAAAAATCGTTAGAACTTGATTAGGGAGGCGAGAGGGTTGTGTTCCGGCAACAGAGAGCTATGGGGAGGTCAAGGATGAACCAATTTCGGGTCTTTTGGGTTCAAATCCAAATTCAAAAATTAGGGTTTCAAAGATGCAAATCACGGTGAGATAAAGAGGTAGTATGTTAGTGAAGAGGGTGATTCAGTCATGAGGTTAGACAGGGACGGGTAGTGAGGATGATTAGAGGGTTTTAACGAACAAAAGAGATGAACGAAGAAGATGAACTAGCGGCGCCGTGAGTGATAAAGATTTCCCAAAAAAAACTTAATTTTGTTTTTATCCCTTCATCAGTAACTAAGCTTGGTTTAGAAGCTTGGGCTTGGTTTTTGTTTGATCTGTAATCCCACTTCGTTTTTGCTGGCCTCACCCCCCCTTTGCCTGTTTTTTTGTTACAACAAGATAAAAAATTATTTTCTTTGGGTCTCCTCCCAAATCCTCCATAAGCCCATGCTGTCTATTATTTTATTTTCTTCTTATTCTTTTTTTGTTATACAAAATGCTATTAAAACTTAAAATATACTCCTTTTTTATATAATTAATTTAGACTTTGTGAATAATTTTTATCAATTTCTTTTTCTTTCTTTAATAAAATCTGTTTTTAGATTTAATATACATATAATAAAGCACCAAAAATAATAATAGAATTTAGTGTTGTCCTTCTTTAATTTATTTTATTACTTACATAATTAAAAACACAAAAAGATAATGCATACAATTTTAATTTATTTTAGTCAATTATTTCATTTTTAGAATAGGTTTTACTTTCTTCCTTTCAAATAAATACTTAAAATTTCATTTCCATATTTTTATTTGAATTTATTTCATAGATTATTATAGCTTTCATTAATCGCACAAACTTCGATTTGGTTGTATTGTTTGATATTTGAATTTTGCTATCACATTTGATTCATCCCCATTTGTAAAAATTGTACCCCCTTTCTCGAATATTTTGTAATAGCGTAGAACTTCAATTCTCGCAATTTACTGTTTTCCTTATACTGTATAGTAATTAGGCGTGTATGGCAAGATTTAAAAATCAATCGCTAGATGACCTAATCGAAGAATAAAATAACTTGAAACCAACACACTTTTTTACATGCGCACCTCTAGGGTAACCTCGCTCATTGCCTCGGAAATACAATCATTTCCCTCGAATATGGGACGCTTTAGCAATGACCCTTCAATAAAAAAAGGATCGTAGTCCCTCGATGACCCTCGACGTTGCCTTCGATAAAATGATCTCGTCCCTTACGAAAATTGCTAAAGCGTCTCATAAGTTGCTTTCAATGATTGTAAAATTGACCCGCGCCTGTCCCTTTACATCCAACAATGGGGCTTCTTACCAAATCAATGGTAAGATAGCACCATTAAAAGGAGGAAGAAAAGAACAATTTAAGACCTTTCGAGTAGATAAATTCGCTCTTAGTTACTCGCTTGCTCACAATAGAAACTTTTGACACCTACACTTTCATTTCAAAAACATTTCCCAAAAGACAAAACATTTTGTATATGTTCTTATAGAGACGAGAACCATTGCAAAACATCTTTTCAAAACACTTTCCGAAACACGATTCACAAACACATCTTTGAACCACTTTTCGAAACAAAACTTTGTACGCCATCTTATAGAAACGAGAACCATTACAAAGAGATTTTTCAAAATACTTTCAAAGCCCACACCACAGGCACACTATCAAATGAAAGCAAGTGACCTAACGAGTAACTAAGAGCCCATGGAAAACCATGGATGAAAATGGTGCTAATACCTTCCCTTTTCATAATCTACCCCCCCGAACCCGAGAAATAATCTCGAAAGGTCTTTCCTGTGCTTTTTTACCTTTCCTTTTGGATAAAAGAAAAGTCGGTGGCGAATCTTGCTATCCGCACAAATGCGATCGAAACGCAAAATATCAAGTTAGTTCTCCCATCGTATCACACCTTGCCTAAGTGCATGTCTACTATATTTATTCCTTATGTCTTTTATAATGATTATGATCTACTCACCATTTCTGCTTGGAAATGTTGCCTCTATATATGGGTAACTTGCAGGTGATCAGGAATAGTCCGTTGAAGCTTAAAGGATAGCTTCAGAGTGTGTTTATTGTTTTTGTTGAATAAAGGGAGTCTTGCTCTAATATATAACATCGGGGTTGGGATCGACTGGTTGTGAACCATGCACTATTTTGTTATCTTGAGATTTTATATTACCGTCATGACTTTTGCCATGTTTCGGATTATGATGTTATAAACATGAAGTGTGATGATTTTATTAATATTTGAACTACCTTTTATGGTACTGAGATTATTTTATGAAGGAGTTTAAGACTCATTAATTCTGCTGCGAAATTCGAAATGAATTAGTTGTGATACTATACATTATATTTAAGTGTTTTCTTTGTAACTCGCGTTACAGAGCAAGATTATTTGTGAAATGATGTTTATATGAAGATGTAACATCCTTGCTGTTGTTTTACGTTTATTTATTTATTAAAAATATTCGTGAAAATCGTGGGGTCTTAGAAGGGTGTTATAATTACCCCTGTAGAGTCAAGATTGCAGCTGTCACTGAATGAAAATGCACATGATATTAATCCAACGCAATACATGAGGCTAATTGAATCATTGTAGTATTTGTGTAATACGAGACCGGACTTGGCATATAACGGGGGCATAATTGGGAAATTCATGTGGAAGCCAAAGGCGTTACACTTGGAAGCAATCAAGAGAATTATGAGATACATCAAAGGTTCGATTGGTTGCAGAATTTTGTTTCCCGCAACTAATAGAGGTAGAATTTGTAAATTTCTCGGTTATACCGACTCAAACTGGTGTGGAGATAAAGATGATAGAAAATCCATTGCTGGATACATCTTTATGTATGGATAAATCCAATCTCTTCGTGTTTTAGGAAGGAATCCATTATGGTGCTCTTTTTTTGCAAGGATGACTACACTGCAGATTCTATGCGTGTGTGTCAAGCTGTATGGTTGATGAAGGAATTGTGTAGCAAAAAGTATGAAGTTGTGACATTAACGATAGACAATATTTCCACTATAAACCTTGCAAAGAATTCCATTGTACATGAAAGAAGCAAACATATAAAGATGAGATTTCACTACTTGAGAGAGCTTGTGAGTGAAAGATAATTGAAATTGGAGTATTACAAAAGTGAAGATCAAGTTGTTGATTTGCTAACCAAAGTAGTGACAAGTGAAGTGTTCAAAAGGTTGAAGAAGCACATTAGTATGGAAGACTCGAAGAATTTGAATTAAGGTAGTGTTTTATGAAGAAAAAAATGTAAGTCAAGTTGGTGTAACCGGTTACAATAGAGGTTTAACAGGTTACCACCCTTTCAGTAGCAAAAATATCAAACAGTTATCTTATCAATAGGTTACGACATTACTCTTTGGATGAGAAGGTTTCATATGAGATATGGATAGATAATTTCGCTTGTCTTGACAATTTAAAGATTTTTAAATGCCCGACATAAATGCATATATCAAGTGAAGATCAATTCAAACTTGATCTAAATTTTTTTTAAATTATACAAAAGATATTATGAAAGAGTTCGAATTACGGAATCAAGTTTAAAAAAAGACAGATAACATCAAAGATGTTGTCTTTGATCAAATATTCATTTTAAAATAATTAATTACAATTAATGTGTCAGAATCTAAAAGGAAAACTTCCAACAATCAGGTGATTTTGCCGGATATTAATCTTCTATCATTAATCAATGTGCATATAGTACCTGAACTACAAGTCAAACTAGACTATAATACTAAAATTAATCATGGATCTAAAAATTTAAATGGAGTACAAAATTATTCTCTTGTTCATCAAAAAGAGTATCGTCAAATCAAGTCATCATAAAGATATTAAAATGATGATTTGGCATATTATGCATTTCTTATTAGTTTTGTAGGCTCATTCATCAAACAAATATCATGTTTATTATTTATTATTTATAAAGATAATCTAACACACAATACTTAAGATTTATTCCAAATATTTTAACTATTTCTTATCTCATTTCACATTTTTTTCTCTTAGGTAATAAACTACTAAGATGATTATTATTATTATTATTATCATCAAAACAGTGATTAATTTTGTTTAAAATTTAAATAGGACAAATAAAAAAAACAAAATTAGTCATGAAAAGAGACATGTAAATAAGAGAATAATATATAAACTTTTTTATAAGAGTTTAATCTAATTAAGTAACACTAATTGGACCATTAAAAAAAGAACTCTTGGATGTTTCATCTTGTTCCATGTTGTTAGACTTGGGAACTGCAAGAGTTAGCTCAAGATCAGGTGGTGTTGCATTTGAAGAATTTGGTATCACCAATGTCATATTCAAAGATTTTGTTAGAGGATGTAACCAATTAGTCACATCTTCGTGTTCTTCTTCAGCATAATCTTCAACTTGAGTTGATTTTGTTTCTTGTTGTTGAAATGAGGTTATTAGAAGTGAATCAACTGAATTTCCTTTGTTGATTGAATCAACTCTTCTATTTGTGTTGATGCTACCAACCTAAACATATTCCACAATATCATATCATTTAAGAGATTAATACATGTTCTTCATTGAATTTAAGATTATGAGATGATTAATTAAGAAAGTATAGTATTAATTACCATGTCAAAGAGACTTGAACGTCTTTTTTTCTTATTCAAAGTTGAAAGTCTAATAAAGTACTTTTGAGCATGACTTGCAACTTGTGTTGGTGTTCTTGTTGTCACATAGCTTCTTGAGATACCTCTCCAATCTCCTTTTCCAAGCTTCTCAAGTCCAACAAGAAATTTTATATGCTCTTCTTCTGTCCAAGGAACTCCTAATCGATAAAATAATAAAATATACAAAGATTTATCAATTGATCTGTATGGAGATACATTCAATTTAAATGATATAGATTTGAATCTGCGACATTCCACTGCAAGACAAAAAAAATAATATATACCTTTCTTTCTTTCTTGTGTTCGAACTACGAGACCATCGGAGAGATAGCCCACAGATATTCTATCTTCAATGATTAATCTTGTAGAAGAAAACGAAGAAGAAGGAGAAGAAGATGAAGTAGGAAAAGAATCCATGCTAAAGCTCTTTTTCATGGAAACATATGAAGATGATAAATCAAGTTGAACACCAAAGAGTCTAACTCCAAGAAAATTGTTACCATTTCCTCTTAAAGAATTACAAGTTCTTGAATTATGACCTATGTTTCCACAATGTGAGCATTTTCTTCCCATTTTTTTTGAACCGACACAAACCTTAAACACCACAATACTAAATTTATGTTTTCTTTTGTCTCTTTGATGGAGAAATTGAAATTAGAGATCCAACACAAAAGAAGTTATGTGTTTGGTGATATATATGATGATTGATGGGTGTGAGTTTGAGAAAATTGGAAGCACACCAACACTATTTAATTGGTTGGACATAGTTTATTCAAGGTGGATACTTTTTCTAATTCTTTTTATTTATTTATTATTTTTAAGAATAAAAAAATACTAGATCACAAAGATATATAGATACACCTTATCTCATTTATGACTGTTGTGAGTACTATGTATGGACTATAACTATACTAATACACACCACATAGAAATCACATTGTTTTTCTCTTTGTTTGTTTTTCAATAAAAACATAATTCACTAACAAACAAACAAAATTTAAAATATATATCTCATCCTACAAAAATATTTTTATTTTTATTTTAATCTTTATAATTTTATTTGTTTGGTTTAGGTCTTTACAAATATATGATATTTTATTTTAGACTATTAAAATTGTATACATTTATAAAGATTAAAAACTAATTAACTTTTTCTTAAAAAACTAAAATAAAAAACAATATATTTACAGAAATCAATAAATCAAAAAATTATTAGAAATATTTTTTAAAAGACAAAATATTAATTATATTATGTATCTAATAGAAAAAAAATGTGTTAGAGAATGTCTTTTTAATATTATTCATGTTATAAAAATTAGAATATTACATGTTTTTCTCTATAACTTTTTTTTAAGTTTTATTTTTTTACAATGTAAACATATTTTAAAAATATAAATTAAAATCAAATAAAATAGTATTTGACATCAAAATTTTGATGCAAAAATATGATTTATTTATTATAAATATATATGTACCTATGAATTTGTATTTTTTTGGTCCCAAATGCAATGTCAAACATCAATGAAGTTATTGTGTAAAGACAAATTAAGAAGGTCAGAATTTCCAATATTTGGGAGGTAGGTCTATCATCTATGTATGTATGACTTGAGAGAAAAATAGAAATATTAGAGAAAATAACAACTTTGAAAACAGTGTCCATCAACCACCATTACTTGCCATGGAAATCACAATTAAATTAATATCTCTACCTTATTATTATTATTATTAGAAAAAGGGTGAAGAGGACTTGAGAGTCAAAATTTTGTACATTCTTTCTTTTACCAATTTTAGATTTGAACATTTCAAATTCTTTGATGATATATTCAAAGTCAGAATCAAAAGTAATCTTGCTTTCTGGAAGGATTAGATTAAGCCCTTATGTGGGGTACTTTTCTTTATTCAAATATTCTATATAATATCACTTTTTTTTTATCCTTTAAGAGAAAGAATTTAATTAACCATGATAATAGTAATTATCATTTTGATTAAATCCTTTAAGAGAAAGAATTTAAAAGGGCCCAGACGGTAGATATCATTGGACATATCACATCATGTTTTTAAAAGCACCATACAACATGGTTTTGTAAAAGATGAGTTCCCATGTAGTTAAAATTGTAGATTCATTTGTAAAAGGGATAAGGATATTCCTACTCGAAATATACTTCTGATTTTTATCATAAATAATTATTATTTTTTAAATTTATTGAGTAACTAATATATTTTGCATTAATATAAATTAGATATATTGTGGTTATTTAATAAATTTAAAAATAAAAACAATAATATTAAATGTGATATTTTTAACACACTCTTTCATTTATAGGATTAGATATGTGAAGCACGACTCAAATTATTCGAATAACTTATTGTGTTTGTTTTACAATCATATAGATTTGTTCTCTCTAGATTATATAATGCTATTTAGATATTATTTCCAACTCAAAGTTGAAGATATTATTTAGATTTTTAATTATTTGTACAAAAGAAACTACTCGACCATTTAGTCGGTCATCTAAGAGAGTACCATAATAATTATTTGGCATTATTATGGGAAGGAATCTTTTTGTGAGAAAAGATACTTAGATACTTCTATTATATAGTTCTATGATCTTTGTTTCTTTACTTTCCAATATCTTTGAAGAGTATTATCTCTCTATATATCTATATACATATACATATATAAAATATAACTACTAGTGCTATAAGAATAGTCTGAGATAATTGATAGTGTTATCAAAGTTTAACCATTTAGAATATTCACCATTTATATTTATGTGATAAACACAATAATATTAGACATGGAAAAATATATTGGAATTAAATTCAAATATTTTATTTTACATATCAATTTTATATATATATATATATATATATATATATATATATATATATATATATATATATATATATATATATATATATATATATATATATATATATATATATATATATATATATATATATATATATATATATATATATATATATATATATATATATATATATATATATATATATATATATATATATATATATATATATATATATATATATATATATATATATATATATATATATATATATATATATATATATATATATATATATATATATATATATATATATATATATATATATATAACAGAAGTTAGTTTTAGATTTTAAAAATAATTTTTTGATTTTTTAATTAAAAAATCTAAAACAAACTCACCTTACTTTGTTACAAATTTTAAATAAAAGTGATTTTGGCATACATAAGGCAGCTGAATTTGAAATCATGCAATTTTAAAATATGATGAGTTATATTTTGCTAATTAAAAAATATATATATTTAGCTTAGAATAAACTCTACAATTTCAAGGGAATAAATTAACTTTCATCGTACAGTTTTATTAAATGTATATAATGGAATAACTTGATGTTTGGCAAGGACTTGATGATTATATTCGCAATATTATGATTAGTTGAAACCTTCATCACACTTTAACTTTTCTTCTTTTGATTTTTTTTCTGACGAAATGCAGCATAATATCAATGTGTTTGGTTCTCTCATGATAGGTTAAATTCTTCGACAGATATATGCTACTTTGACTATCACATTTAACAGTAATTGCTTGAACTTAAAATTTCAGTTTCTTAGCAAAGCCTTTAAGGCACAATGCTTCTTTTACATCTTTAGTGAGAGCACTGTGTTCAGCTTCAGTGGCTGATAAGGCTACAACCTTCTGAAGTATCGGTTTCCAACTTATTAATATACTAAACATAGTGAAATCATATCCATAAATAGATTTGTTGGTATCCATACATCCTGCGTAGTCAGAGTCAATAAATCCTTTGATTTCAACTTTATTATCATCGCCTTTGGCTCCACCATAAACTAGGACTCTACTTCAAATCCATTTTAAGGCTGGTCAGTGTGCCTTTCTAGTGTTGGTCATGTACCTGGTTACAAGGCTCACTGCATACACTATACCTGGCCTAGTATAGACCATTGCATTCATTAATAAACCTATTATGTTAGCATATGGTATGATTCATATAATCTCTTTCAACTTTAGTACTAGAACTTTGAGTTATACTCATCTTAAATTGTTGAGTTGTTGGTGTTATAATAGGTTTTGAGTTCGACATAACAGACATGTCGAGAATCTTCCTTAGATATGAATCTTGAGACAAACATAATTTTGAATGCTTTCTATCTCTCTTGATGTCGATACCTAAAATCCTGGTTGCAGCTCCAAGGTCCTTCATTTTGAATTCTTAGTTAAGTTCAGCCTTCACCCTCACTACTTCTTCGACGAAGTTGTTTACTATAAGGATTTCATCCATATAGAGCAATAAGATAACAAGTGAATTTTCAGGTGAGAACCTGAAATAAACACAATGATCAAAGTTAATCCTTGTGAAACCTATGTGCTCTATGAACTTGTCGAATCTCTTGTTCCATTGATTAAGAGATTGCTTCAGGCCATATAGTGACCTATTTATCTTGCACACATAATCCTCCTTACCCTTTTCTTCATACCCTTCAGGTTGCTTCGTCAGAATTGTTTCGTCTAGATCACCATATAGAAATGTAGTTTTAACATCCATCTGCTCTAATTCTAGGTCAAACGTAACCACCATAGCGAGAAGCATTCTAATGGATATATGTTTTACAATGGGAGAAAATAAATCATTCAAATATGTTGTACCCCAAAATTTTCTCTCCTATTTTCACACAACACATGCCTCTAGAGGACCTCAATTGCTCAAGGTGGACTAAGGGTTGACTAGACAGATGTTCCTCCTAAGGCAACAAAGCTCAAACTAGGGTTTCAATTTCAAGCAAGATGGTTGAGTTCCAAGGGTCCCAAATGGTCTCCATTTCCCTAATATGTCCCCAAGATCATTCATTCCAAGTTTCATGCCTTGCACTACAAGTTTGCTCAGTCAACTGCTCAGATGCCTATAAATCAATTGTGTTAGGTCAAAAGTCAACTGTGACCCACATACAGTCAAACTTCAATGTTTTTGGTCAACATCAACATTTTGAAGTGATATCCATCATTTGATAAAGGTTTGATCATGATTCCTCAAGGAATGCTCCTAATTCATCAAAACTCAAAAGTTGCTAAATTAGGGTTTCTATAGGAAAAGTCAACCAAACTTTGACCAGGCATAACTTTCTCATACTTTATCAGAAATTCCTCATCCAAGGGTCGTTTTGAAGAGAATTTAATTACCTATAATTCATCTTCAGCCCTCAAGTTCAATAAATGCACTCATGAAAAGATATAAATTTAGACATTATAGGTCCATTTCAAAAAGTTAACAAAAACACCTTTTGGGTAAAAGCTCCTTACATGAAGATGGAAGATCCAATTGAGATGAAACCAAAAGGGTTGTTTAGAGGACATCCTAAGCTTTCTAAAAACTCTAAGAACACCCTCTTAGGGTCAAAATTGGGATATATATGCATTGTCAAAGTTTTCCATTTTTGGAAATTTGCACAAAGTCAACAATGTCCAAAATTGCATTTTTTCCACATGGGCACATCTTTTCAAGATTGAATCTCAGTCCTAGCATGGTCC